GCGCGGTGTTTAGGTGATTTCGGTACATTCGCGCGTAGGTGTCTTTTTGAACGTCACACCACCTGGACATCAGATTTTCGGTAAGAGAATTTAATATTAGAACTTAGAAGATAAAATTGTTGAAAGTTGAAACAACATTAACCTGCCARGTACACACGTAGGCTACTGTTTGATACCTAAGGACAGCACTCTCAGATTATAAATAAATATACAACGAAGAGATTGTTTTACCATAGTAATATTTTTTTCCACTATGAAACCATTTGAGATTATAGATTGAATTGTGATATAAAATTAATTTTTACAAAAATTAATGRCTTAATAATTTTTATCCAATATTCTTATTTTGTTAATAATYTACTTCACAGGCTGAACACAATATATATASTATCTTGTACATTAATTAATATGAATGCTAATTATGTTTAATGTGTGATTGTGTTTGAGGCAAAAAGAAAAATATGTAACTTTTACGAAATACATTAATAACAAAAAATATCAATAAATAATGTTAACTTTGAACGTTCTGTATTACCAATATTATTTGTATATTCGCCGCATTCGTTTAAAATATATTGATTTGTTGTACTATATTTGTAGGTAAAATATTAAATAATTTAATCATGTTGGTACTTATTATTATTAATACTATACTTGAAAACAACAATTCTTAGTATAATTTTGTTATGTGCAAAATAATTATGATGTTCCATCAGTCGCTCAAACACTAATATATGTTTATTAGATGCACTCACTATTTTAATTTTCCGTATATTTCGTGTTTTTAATTCAATTTATGTAATTTTGATATACGAGGATCCTATTCCAGGTGGACCATAACCGTCGTTACCCCTCATAATTCATCAATAACACAAACTTTGTACGTACTCTGAAAATAATTTATTAAACTTGTCTCTGAAATRTTTAAATTTATATCCAAAAACAAAAAACCCACTCGAACGTTGGCTCACACAATAATTTCAATATTTATTTCCCGTGAAATATTGTCCAAACACGATATAATTAGCAACTGATTGTGGGCACTTTGTAATAGGTACCCGCAGTAAGTTGTTGTAATAGGTCTGTTTCTTTTCTGTGAACTTTTCTTTGATGTCATACGTGCTCGTGAATGCGTGCATATGACTGTGTTCTTGTATTCTCGAGTTCTAACAAAACCATTATCCATCGCAATTATTGTTTAGGATTATAATATATAAAACAATAGTAATTCCTTAAAACTTTCCAGTAACGTATTATTGTATTACACGTGTAATGTTTGTTTATAGCGTTAATTAAGCTTTGTTACTTGACATTCAATACAATCCCATGTGTTCATTTATTACACGTTTTCATAATAATACTAAAATATAGTACATTTTCAAAAATATCATATTATACCTATCTTATAAGCGGAGAAGGTGGCTATAATCGAATCTTGTACGTGACTTTAAAAACAACGTAATTAAGAGAAAATAACATATTTTAGAGATGAAATAATTTAATGTAGACCCTGGACAATCTCATAACCATTTTTCTTGTACCTACTGAACATTAGTAAAAATGGAAAATTACGGTTAACATTTGTTCCATTTCATCATTTGTTAAATTTTTGATTAGTATTTTATGGTTGTAGTATAAATTATTTAAATTATTCATTTCTCAAGCTATTATTATTATTATAAGTTATTTCCACCTAACCCCTAATTATGTTCGTTATATATAACTATCAATCATCATCATCTAATAACCTATTGTAATTTGTCTTATGCTCAGATGTAAAAAAAATTCCATTTTTAAACCAATATAAAAAATCTCACTTACAATTCRTTATTGTACCTACCTTTTTAATGAGCCAAAAAAATGATAATGTCTCCAACATTACTTTTCCCCATTCTTATACTGCAACGTGGTCGGGGGGCCTTGTTATGATATTAGTTATCCAGGGAAGGTTTTCTATTCCKTATGGATAAGTTTTCCGTAGCTGGGGGTTAGAGGCTCTAATAAAGAGAGCACTGTATATGAGGTATTTTATCAATAATAAGACACGGTTTATAGATCCATATTAATATTATTATATTATTAAAAA